CATGGTGGCCTCTCAGGTCCAGGAGGAAATAACTCAGTGCATGCAGCATGGCCAGCATCTCCAGGCAGTTGATATGCCACATGAGATGGCGACCACTCCACAGACCACGGGCAGGGTGGCCACTCATGACCGCTCCCCAACCGGTGAGGGACGCATCCGTCGCTAGCGTTACGCGGCGACAAGGAGCTCCCAGCACCGGGCCCTGAGCCAAGAACCAAGGCTTCCTCCACATGTCCAAAGCACGTAGGCATCGCCGCGTGACCTTGAACATACGAAGCGGGTTTCCCCTCGGGGAGAACCCCTTGGTCTTGAGCCACCACTGTAGGGGCCTCATGTACAGCAGGCCAATAGGTATCACGTTGGCGGTTCAGCCATTTTCTCGGCGGGCCATGCGATGTTTAGTTTGGCGACAGCACGAGTTACCACCTCCAAAAGTTCCTCATACTGGGGCGATTGAGGGGGCGAATCCTCGTCGACGCCCACCACATCAACCTCCTCGGAGGAAGACAGGCGGAGCGCCGAGCTCGCTCCCCGGGGGGAAGTAACCACAGAACGGGCTTCCGATCCCGGTGAGCGAGCGCCGGATCTGGCGGGTGAGGAAGAAGATAGGGACTCGCCCGTCTCCATTCCCTCCGCCAGTTCCAGCTGCGAACCCCACGAGCGCAATCGCCGCTGAGCCTCGGCGGCAGCGGGACCCGCAGCTGTTGGTCTGATTACACACGAGAATCAGAGCCCGTCACGCTGAACGGCGTTCCCCTAGCGTTTTTCGACGCAGCTTGAGTTCCTGAAGAGGAAATATATTTTTTACCTTTATTCCTTAAAGGGGTCATATGATGTTGCTAAAGAGAACATTATTTTGTGTATTTGGTGTAATGAAATGTGTTTATGTGGTTTAAGGTTCAAAAAACACATTATTTTCCACATACTGTACATTATTGTTTCTCCTCTATAACCCGCCTTTCTGAAACGCATCGATTTTTACAAAAATATTCAAAAAGGCATTTGTTGCATCCAGTGTGGACATAAGTACGGAGTATAATGACTTATACTGTCTTTTTACACGTTGCATCGCGCCACGTTAACATAAAACCATGTCTGCATTTGTGATCTGAGGAATGACAAACAACAAGCGCTACTCTACACTGCCCAAAACTCGCGTTTGAATCGTCAGTGGTAAATTCTTTAATACAAAAAACGTATTTACAGTCTGTGAGTCAGAACAGCCGGCATTGTAGTCTACTCTTCCAGGATCAGGAAACAGTCCTCCATAAAATGTGCTGCACACATCTGAATATTTGGGTTGAACTGTTCTGGAACAGTGTTGTAAATACAACTTAATCACTGATTTCTAGTCGTGTCCTCTTTTGGAAGACCAAACAAAGTAGTTTCGCTTTCACAACAAAACACACAGCATCACACACGGTAGGCTAGAGTGAGGAACGGCTGGTGGGCTAGAGTTAGCGGAGACCGGCTTGAGTGAGGAATGGACGGTAGGCTTGAGTGAGCAGAGGCGGCGGGGCTTGAGAACGGCGCGGCCAGCGGATTCGACGAAGGAGCGGCCAGCGGATTCGACGAAGGAGCGCCCGGCGGGCTTGCGGCAATCGCATGTGACGACCCCTGGGCTGGACTCCGCTTCGTCCACGGTGAAAGCCGATCCGGCGATCCACAGCGCAAAGTTGGTGTATTTCCTCAGTGACCAGCACGGATCAGCTTCAGGCATGACGAACCGGATATCGTCCTCTTTTGGAAGACCAAACAAAGTAGTGTCGCTTTCACAACGAAACACACAGCGCCTTCACGACATGGCGGCGGCAACAACAATACTACAGCGAGAATAAAAGTTATGCCTTCTTTCTTTGCGTGAACATTTGGGCGGCGTTATGCAAATCTTCCTACATCGTGACGTAGACATGTAGGGGCGTGTTAGAACGAGCCGTTTTAGGTAGGCGTGGCTGACTCTTAACTTTTATAAAGAATATCTCTTTGGATTTGAGACTTTAGTCTTTGCAACTTTACAGATCTTCTTTATGCTCCAAGAGCTTGTAACATTCCAAAGAGAAAGAAAAAATTTAAATCGCATCATATGACCCCTTTAAAAAGAGTTATATCATCATCATAGGCAGCACTCACAAGTCATTACATTTCAAGTCTATTTATTGAAACTTGGAAGCAATAGAAAGAAGAAATTATGTTTTCATTAAAGAACATACAATATAATACAATACTTTAAATAGTTGTGCTTTATTCATTAAAATGCATTATATCAACATAATGAATATGGTCACATAATAGTCATTACAATTCAAGTGTAATTTCAGGTAAAACCTGAAAACTAAAGAAAGAAAACGTTGATATTTTTAGACAATAAACAATATTATAAATAGTGATGCAACACACATTTGCTGGTAACAATGTTGTAAATGAGTCCTACCTGTCGCAACACATTCCCTACTCTGCCTTCCCTTGAAAAATAAAATTTTTATCAAGGTAAAATTGACATATATTTCCCAACAAAAGTATTGTTTAGTGTAAAACATGTTGAAGATTAGCGAACAGGTTGTCGATTCATTAAATGATAAGCTATTTCCTAAAAAAAGCTGTTTATTCAGCATAGTGAAGCCTCTCCTCCATTGACATCCATTCCAAAAAAAAAACACTTTTTTGGCTAAAGGTTGAATGCTTGCCTTCCAGTGGCTTTGATTGTACCCCTTCTAACTCAGGTGCATTATGGGATTGAATGAGTGCAGTTGACAATGTCCACTATGGTTGCGGACATCACTACAGATGTGTCCCCTCAAATAGTGCACTATATAAGGGTACAGGGGGTGATTTTGGAACAGGGCTGTTATCATTCACTAAAATGAAAACCATTAATAGCATTCTTCTTACTTTGAATTGTTTTTAATTATTTTGTTAGTTTTAATTATTTTATATCAGCTAGCTGCCAAGACACGATTTCTCATTTCTCGCTTAATTTGACTTGAAGTACTAAAATAACTAAAGCTAAATAAACTAAAAAGAATCAATAACAATTATTACAATTATACTGACAAATTAAAAAAAAGAAAAAAATATCAAAAACTATTCAGACACATCCCAAGAGTGATGCCATAAAATGCTCCCTAAGAAGGCTGCTCACTTGGTTTTAAAAACATAATCATATTCTCTCTGTTTGCTGTCACTTTCTTTCAGCAGGTTTGTAGGAACCAGTATTTTTCTTTTGATTTTAAGACAAAGTTGATGTGATCACGCTGTGAACTCTGAGATAGATACACAGTGTCAAATGAGCCTGCTGTCCAGACATTATAAATCAGAGCTTCCATAAACTGCGGCCACTATAAAACTTCAATAATTCCTCCCCTATCAGAGTGCCGTAGGGAAGGGGCTTGTTCAGCGGGGCTGCAAACTGAAACAGACTGAGCCCATCTGGATTCATTAACAAAGAGAAATAGACGAAAAGAAAAAAAAACGAAAGAGTTCCAGGGGAAAAGAAGCATTTCAAGACTGTATAATCACAATCAAGGAAAGCATGAACATTTGAAAGAACAACATGTTTTTCCTGTGGTCTAATAAAATTAAAACACAGGCAAGTCAGATGCCTCCATGGCCTCATAGCTGCCTTGCAATTACAGAGCTGTAAACTTGAAAAAGAACACGAGCGCCAGGCTGGAGGAGAGCGGGACTTGAATTACAGTCACAGATTGTGACCATGTGAAGTGCCAGAGCGGAGGGAGGCTTTGCGCTGGATGCCTGTAGCATTTACATTTTTCAAAAATAATTGACTAGTCGGAGGGTTATGTAAATGACTAGATTGCTAATCTATCTCAGGGGTGTCCTGAATAATTATGCTGGTTCGCCAGACCTTGATCAAATGGTGGTGTTTACGTAAGAATACAGCTAGAAAAAGCACAATGGAAGAGTTTTGAGACACATTTGTAAAATTTACATTTAAGATGTAGGACCGTCAAAAACAGTGCAAGGTATGAATGGCACAGTGGAGATAATAATAATAATAAAAAACTAAGGATAAATTGAGTATATATAT